TATGTATGTATATATATATATATATATATATATATATACATACATAAATATTTTCGCCAAAGTCCTGAATCGATTAGATTTTGATTCATTCAGTTCTAAATCGATTAATTTTCAATTCAATTTGTTTTTACAATAATAAAAGTGGTTCAACTGTGTTTCAAAAAACTCATGTATTTCACTTTTTCCTGTCACATTGAACACAAAGTGCAAACTTGTAAATCGGACAGTTTAAACTTGAGCTGTGAACAAAACTGTCTCAAAAGTTCAAACTTGTTTGTGAAAAGTGAAAAAGTGAAGCCTCACTTGAACAAGCAGACGTGACACGGCAGACATGCATGAGCTGCATTATCTCCAATGCACAAACTATATTTGCAGCGTTGGCTGTAACTACAGGGTGTTTGCTGGTCAGCCCCCCTTTGTTAATGTCTTCAGTCAACCTATTAGCTATATTTGCAGCCGTCTGGTTTGAAGTCATCTTGAGTGCATCTTTCCTGCTCATTTGAATGTGAACGTCACGCGCGTCACTATAAAACTAATCGATTTCATTCCCTAGACATCGATTTTGCAAAAATATAAAGGAATCGATTCAAAATCGATTAAATCGATTTTTTTACCCAGCCCTACTCATGACTGGTATCCTTGCAAACTAAAGAGCCGTACCTTTCCAACTACCTACAATCACTGTCAGATGTCGGAATATCTGTGAACAGCTCAGTGCGGTATGTACTACATGGTTCATATACTGAATCAGTAAATATTTCTTAATTTACCCTCTTTATCTTCTATCTGATTAAATAAACATTTCCGTTGATTTAACTCTCTGCTAAACACACATTTGCTCTCGTAATTAAAAGTTTAATCGTCACTTTGTGCTTTGGTGCAATAACTAAACTTGCACTTAAATGCATCCTCTGTTGTGAATACTTAAAGCTAAAATCACATCATGAGCTTTCCAGCGTCATAATAAAGCATATTTACGATACTATTTTTGCAGTCTTATTGTAAACAAGCTCATGATGCCATGGAGGAACAAAACAAGCCTTTAAGAACCAATCTGTCCATCTTATAGACTCTCGCTCTGCTTGAGTCTGGCTGTGATGCTCCAGCCGGTACAGCTTAGAGGAGCAGGTGGCCTCCGCAGACGTTGAACTGAGCCTTTCTGAAGGCTCACCCACCGCCTTCCTCATCCCCCTCCCAGCCCTTTTATCTTCCCGTCTTTCAAACCATCCTATTTTTTTCCAGCTGAGTGTTATCGCTTATCAATTCCTCCCCATTTCTTGTTTTTTTTTCTATAAAATCTGCAAAACCAACCCCCACAAACAGCTGGAGTAAAAATCATGTAGAATTCTTTTTTTTAAATATATTCCTCAAGCTAATATTCAGATTACTTATGCTTCCATTTGTCTAATGCAAAGTAAGAACTAAATGCACTTTACGAAATTGACCCCAGCTCGTTTGATGGTGTGTTCCTACATGGGTCCAAGTCAATGTTTCTCAAGAACAGACCGTGCACAGATAGATTAAAATGAGAGCCATCCCTGACACACAATATCACACACATAGTTTGTTATGGGACTAAAGCAAGATCACAGCAGAAAGGAAAGTTTAAACTGAATGTTTTCAAAATAATAAATGTCCATTTTACCATTTCTTAAGTTAAAAGTCTTTTTAATGGGAACCACAGTTCATAAACAAATCCTCATATCTATAGTTGGACAAAGGCACCAGGTGCTCAGTCAAAACAAGGTGATAAACATCCAAATTAATAAAAGTTATAAAAAACTGAAGGATCCATTGCTGTCTCGTTTATTTGAACATGTTTTAGAACAAAGATAATGTTTTAAAAGACATTTATTTATGAGTTAAAGATGTAGTGGATGATTTCCTTTTTCCAGGTGGATCATCTAAATAATTGGTCCTCCGAACTGTCAATGATTCTGGTGAGATTTTTACGTAAGGCCGTCCTACGTGCTCGTCCCCATTTTCACTTACCGCTGGTGAGTCTGACAAGTAAGCTTGTCTGAGCGATGCAAACAGCAACTTTTAAACGGCGCGTGCACGAGGAGAAATGGTGTCGTGCACGCTCTCTTTAATAGCCGTTCTCTCTCTCGGGAGCGGGTACAGGGTTGTGAATGTGCATTTTTATTTTAAAGTTGAAAGGGCAGGTCTTTTCAAAAATTTGCAAATATCCTCCACTGTACCTTTAAACAAACAAATGTACAAAAAGATCCTAACAATTTTAAATGTCTAAAGGGCAAAATAAGCTCATTGTTATCTT